CAAGTGAGAGCTCGTCTCACACACCATCATTGGCATGGTAGAGAATCGAATACATGATCTGACGTCCGTAAAGTGAACGCCTTATGACTCTGCTGAGCGCCTTTAGCTCTATTTAAGCCAATGTTAGCTTGTCATAAAATTGAAATCTATTGTCACTCTCTGCACAAGAAATTGGCAAAACATAGACAAAACATATCGAAAAATGACAAAATATTTTGAAAAATCAACATTTGTTTTTCGTTCAAATTTTTTTATGCAATGATCGGAACTTCTATGCTGCTTGCACAGTTGTTCTTGGAAACTGAGCTTACCCTCTGCCCGAATTTAGAAGAAAATTGTCATTAAATCAGAGTAGTTTTATAATTTCAGCTCATATGTTTTGCAACTGTAGCTGAGGTCAGAGCAATCTGTGCTTCTTACACAGCACCTAAATTCTTTGAAAACATTTATAATTATTGAAAACAAAATTGATAAGCTATCCATTACGTTTTAAAATCTTGAAATTATAATACGTACGCGCTTGCTGTCGAAAAACGCAGACTAACCCGACTTCAGCTACTGTCGCAAAAAAATAAAGCCAATTCATTTGAATTTTTTATAGTAATGCCAAATTAGAGAAATTTCGAGCAAAGTGGCAAATTTTTGCTCAAAACGAAGTTTGCAAGAGGCACAAAAGTTCTAACTTATGCAAAAAAAAACTCCATACACCGCATATGTATCCTCTTTATTTTGTGACTACTTGGTGTCATTAATTCCCAGTGTCGAATTGACTGCAAAGATTTTTGTTGCAAGTTTCGAATTGACGGCAGCTATGAGTCCACCAAGTTGAGCCAATTCGTAGGAATTGGCGCACTTGAACCCATAATCTAATACATTTTGTTGTTGTATTGGAGCTGTAAATCGACCCAAAATTGTGTTTACCTATTCGATACTTTTCTGTGAATGAACTCAGTTTGTTTAATACTGCCGTTTTTTTGCAGAAACATTTCTGATATCATGGGGAGTTGAGTTTCAGTTGTTATGATAAACGTATTTTGAATGATGGTATATTGGTTAAACTAAAAAAGGCGATGTTTAAAATGAAAAAATAATATAATTTGTGAAAGTTTTGTGCAATTTTTGAGATTTTTTGAATGTTGGTCTCTACTTTTGTAGATTAGAGATTTACATTCAGGAAACACCTTTTTGCGGAGTACTTTTTATCCATCTGTCGGAAAAGGAAAAGTTTTTGGTTTTTAAGATAAAGGCAATTTTTGAATTTAAATATATATATATATATATATATATATATATATATATATGTGTGTGTGTGTGTGTTTTAGTTTTTAGCATGTTTAAGAAAAGGTCTATTCATTTTGTAAAATTGCAACATTCCAAAATTTTCCAAAAACGAACGAAATTGTCTTTTTGTTGAGAAACACAGGTATCGAATTGACCTCAGCTAAGAATCCACCTAGTGGAGCCAATTTGCATGAATTGCCGAATTGGAAACCGTAATCTAATCTTACACATTTTGTTGTCGAATTGGAGCTGGAGAATTGCCTCAAAAGTGTGTTCAGCAATTCGATAGTTTTTTGTAAATGAACTCATTTCGTTTTATACTCAAATTTATTGCAAATATATTTTCGGTTTTCTTGGAATTAAGTTTTACCAATCATGAGAAACGTCTTTTAGTGATGGTATCTCTGTGAACTTAAAAGAAGACGGTGTTTAAAATGAAAAGATAATATAAATACTCAAAGGTTTTTGCAATTTTTGAGGTGTTTTGAATATGAACAGCTGATTTTTCGCGCAGCAATAAGCTGAATTCAGTTAAGAATTAAACTAATTTTAATTCAAATTATGCTGGAAAAACTACGCGCGATCTTCATCGTTTTTGAGCTGCCTAGAATTGCCGGTAAGATTTCACCCTATGCCACATTTTCGTCGCACTTTTTTATATTTAAGATGTTTCAAAGCGTTTTGAAACCTCTGTCTTTCGGTGTTTAGGAAACTTTCGTCAACCGAACAGCTGTTCGAAAAGTTTTTGGTTGCACAGATAAAGCCGATTTGGCTTGTTCGAGTTTTTTTTTAGTTTTTAACATGTTTAAGAAAAATTTTGTTCTTTTTTTTTGTAAATTGCAACATTCAAAACTTTTCCAAAAACTAACGAAATTTTTTGAGAAATTTTTCGGAAAATTTTATTCATTTTGATTGTTTTCCAGAAAACTTGTAAATTTTTTTTTCTATTTTCATCGATGTCTATTAGCCTGCTGATCAAGATTTAAAAAACAGAATTGAAAATTTTGTTCTATTTTGATGCAAGTTTGGCAGTTTAATTATTTTGCAGATCGACTTCGTCAAATCAGAGTATGAGCTGGACCTCATCATTCTGACGTCATTTTCACCCCGCTGTGGGGGGACTAATCCCAGCCATCATGCCAACCCCCTCCTCTCATTTTCCAACTCCTCCGGCGGGGCGCCGGAAGCCAGTCCATGTGCCGGCTACTATTCGTCTTCAGGGGTTGCCGCTGATTTCCTGCACACGCCAGCGGGTAAACACGTGATCACATGCTGGCACCAGTTCTGCAGTGGAAATGCCATGTACAACACCAGTCATAGCCAAACTGCACTCAAAAGCGCATTCAAAGGTCAGTCAAGTAATGTGTTGTGTTATTATTATTAATAATAATGAGAGCTGAGGTCTTGTTAACTATTTAATTACCCGACCACCCTATTGCAAAAGGAGGAGCATTCGTTACAAGTTACACATTTCACATATGCTCAATCGTCGAATTAGTTCTATAAATAGGCAGCAGTTCTTAAAGAGATACCACAGGGGGAGGGGAGAAATGGTTAACGAGATCCGAGACTAACACTATAACAGATTTTGGGCTAATTGAAAAACGTGAAAAAACATCGAATATCGAGTGCCTTCCATTTCGTTCAGCGCTATCTCAGATTGGGACAAGGTACTCCGTTTTGGAACCATAGCTCGACAGATAATACACAGGGACCGAAAGTCCGGAATTTCATCTCAAAGTGAGTCATCTAATTTTCCCTGGTCCGCCCAACGTTTTATTATTGATGTCATGGGGAAAAATGCTCCTATTTAGTGGAATTGTTTAGCAAACTGGTCTCATTATTCAACTCCGTGTTCATTTCTTAGGGAACCTGAAATTAAAACGAAGAAAGCTTTATTTTTCTGCTCAACCCTAAAAGAGTTATTATTCCGACCACTGAATAATTTCTGAAACAAAAGGAATTTTGTGTTTGATTATTTTCTGTTCTCGCCAATCAGCTACCGTTAATAAACTTGGTTCAGCTGATGGAGTCAAGTGATGTTTCATAGTAACGCTTTTTCAGTTCTGATTTAAGCAGCTGTAATAAAAAATTGAGAAAATCTCAGTTTCAAGAAAAAACGGGTTGACATTTTTGCTTTTTTGGACGAATTTCGAGCCAAAGGATTCAGAAAAAGGTTCACTAAGAGCAATGTAGAAGTTTTTTAAATCAAAAATAGCTGAAAGTTTAGAAAGCAAAGTTCGCGAAAAATTCCACCAATAAGCAAATATCAATAAACAAAGTTGTGTAAAAAAAATACATTTTTCTTAGTTTATTGCAGAATGACCGCAGTCGGAACATTCTATAGCTCATTTGTAATCTTTTTGTTAGCTTGGCTGTTCTGGCTATTGCACTAAAGGTATAATATCAAAAATTTGCTCTAATTTTTTTCAAAATGCGAGCGTCCAATTTCCATTTGAAGTGTTTTCTATAAATTGCTGGTTTCTTTGCGGATTATTGGAAGGTGTGCAAGTTGTCTTCTCAGTTGCAAAGCTCGTGTGTGTGTGTGTGTGTGTGTGTGCGTGCGTGCGTTCATTGGTACCTGGTTGTTTATTCCAATCTTCCGCCCGCCGTTTCCTCTTTTAATTTCCCCCTGCTGCTATTATTTCACTTGCAGAGCTTCCCCTCAAGCAGAGAGGTAGCGTGAGTCACTTGTTAGTCACGTGACTGTTGTTGCCGTGTTGGTCTCGCGGGAGTGGAATACTACACGGTATACTACTGTTGCTGGCTCATTTCTAATTCATGGTGGGATGAAAAATTAACAATACGTGACGGAATTGCGAGGCACATGAGGGGATAAAGGTATTAGCAGTTGAAAAGGTTCCAGGTCTCTTACCTATGTCTAACATTATACCTCTCAAAACAATTGCGTTCCCTTCTATTTTGTCTTTCTTTTTCATTTCGTTATAAAAAGGGGGTATTTAGGCGGTGTTTGTATTTCAGTCTTGTCTGAGCAGCTATTTTTGATGCTCCTATTACAATTCTACTACATCTACATGTATTTCCTCGGTAACTAACATTCGCTTACCGCGCTACACACTTTCGGATTTTTTAATGCCGGTATATACATTTTTAACTATTTAATATATTGATTTAAAACACTAGCGGTGTTTTTTTTTCAACAAATAAATCACTTTTACTCAGTTAACGAGAAGAGAACACGTCATTTCGCAACTCGAACTGGATGAAAAAAAAACTGATAATGGGGATGCCATTTGTCTGCTTTTTTTGCATTAAACATACCACAAAATATTCAAATGAAAGCTGGTGTCCCCATATGTAACTCGACAGGTCGCAGATTTTTTGCTGTCATCGGATTATAGTAACGCAACAGCTAATTCGGTGCTTAGTATTGAAAACAGTTTATAAGAACCGACTTCGCAATTTCAAATGATACAGTACCACTGACTGCATTTATGCAAATAGTTTTGGAGAAAAAAAGTTCGGTAGTAAAAGTTATAACTCGAAGATTTGTTGAGTTGTAAATTCAAAGAATACGCACAGTTCTTCGTATCAATTGTTTTCACAGTATGAATGTTAAGAATCTAACAATACCAGTATATATTAATTCAAGTATCTAATAATAAGTTTACTAGGCTTATCAGTTGATAATGATGCTTTTAATTACTAAAATATAGTAGCTATGGAATGGAAATATGATACAATTCGTGCTTGGTTGTATATCATATTGTTGACACATTTATTGCAACCAGCGTCAGCTTACTTTTTTGAAATGTCTTTTCGGCTAATAAGACGACAGCTGGTACGACGACAATTGTATTTCAGCGAAATAGAATCCGCTTAAAGTCGAACAGTTCATTTTAAACATTTTAAAGCCCATTTGTCGTCTCAATGCCATGTCGTTTAATGTCCTGACTTTTTGTCTACATAGCATGTTTTCTTTTAGAGATTCAATTGTACCCAAATCGGCTTTCCATGTTTTTCAGGCAGGCATAAAATTCGAAACTGTCCCCAGTGTTCGCTAATCAACACTTTTCATCTCTCGATTCAGGGAGAACAAGTCTGCTCGATTCAGGGAAATGAAATAAATTTTCCGACTGATCATTCATTTATCTGATTTTTTTCAGTTATTGCTCCATTGAGCACCTTTTAAAACCCCATAAACTTACAAAAAAAATGATTACTCGTAACATAATTTAATTTTGAACCTGAGAACCTTGACATATTCTAGATTTTAGAAAGACCATAGCTAGCACCAACATTTCCTACTTGAGAAAATCAGAAAGAGAATTTGTTGTTTTTGACATGATTCAAACAGAAAATCATTTAAGCAGCATTGGTAATCGTTGCTCCGCTGCGATTAGATCCAGAAAAAAAAGTTAGCAAAAATTTATGAAACTCAATTACGCGCACTATTTGCAATGTTAACAAGGATAGCCGGTTACTCTGCAAGTAGCACAGAATGTTCCGAACAATCTTAAAAATTTACAAAATTATTTTTCCTATTAGTGTCGTTTTTTCGGCCTGGTGTGATAAAAGAATCAGAGCAAAAAAGTAGAGCTTAGGAATTTTCGCCAGTCATGTAAAATTTGCAAATTTGAAAACAATTTTTGAAGACAAATAACAAGAAAAAAAATAATAGAAAAACTTAAATTTTTTTAAAAATAATTTTTCAAATTTTTCCCCAAATTTTTGAAGGTTTTGATTCCTAAGATGTAGCAAAAAAATAACTTCATTAGAAAAAAACTAAAATTTCAAGGCTTAAATTAAGCATAAATAAGCAAATGTAAGCCTGCTCACTTGCTCGAAATTAGACTAAAAATCAAAAACTTCTAGCTGGTTTTTCTCGACACCGGGAAAACTTAAAAAAAAAAATTTCGATGTCGTTCGAATCACGACTGAAAGGGGCTTAAATATGATATATCACTCAACCCAGTCCTAAGATTATTTGTAGTAGCTGATTTTGCGTGGAAAACAAAATGAAGGAAAAAACTAAAACACACCCGAATACAAAGTTCCTCCCATTTTCAATGGTCGGAACAAAAAGGGCCTTCTATGGTCGGAACAAAACTGCGCAAACACACTTACACGAAAGTTTAAATTGCTCAATTCAGAAATTTCATATTTACTAAGCTCAGGTCCTGGGTTTACTTCAACCCTTGACCTTTGGCTTCCCCGGTATTGACAGTACCACTACCAAATGTGAAGAATCAGCCATCAATTGAAGTGAAATTGAAGTTATTATAATGCAATTTAATGTGGAATTTCTGTACACGAAGTTTCCAACGGGAAAAGAATCTATGACCCGATTGCAATAACAATAACCTTGCTTTTTACAACCTTAAAATGCCTAAAGAAAAAATGCTGTTGAAACTAAAAAAGCTGTTGAAACTAAGTCATTGGAAATAAAATGCGCCCATTTGTCGTCTCAATGCCATGTCGTTTAATGTCCTGACTTTTTGTCTACATAGCATGTTTTCTTTTAGAGATTCAATTGTACCCAAATCGGCTTTCCATGTTTTTCAGGCAGGCATAAAATTCGAAACTGTCCCCAGTGTTCGCTAATCAACACTTTTCATCTCTCGATTCAGGGAGAACAAGTCTGCTCGATTCAGGGAAATGAAATAAATTTTCCGACTGATCATTCATTTATCTGATTTTTTTCAGTTATTGCTCCATTGAGCACCTTTTAAAACCCCATAAACTTACAAAAAAAATGATTACTCGTAACATAATTTAATTTTGAACCTGAGAACCTTGACATATTCTAGATTTTAGAAAGACCATAGCTAGCACCAACATTTCCTACTTGAGAAAATCAGAAAGAGAATTTGTTGTTTTTGACATGATTCAAACAGAAAATCATTTAAGCAGCATTGGTAATCGTTGCTCCGCTGCGATTAGATCCAGAAAAAAAAGTTAGCAAAAATTTATGAAACTCAATTACGCGCACTATTTGCAATGTTAACAAGGATAGCCGGTTACTCTGCAAGTAGCACAGAATGTTCCGAACAGTCTTAAAAATTTACAAAATTATTTTTCCTATTAGTGTCGTTTTTTCGGCCTGGTGTGATAAAAGAATCAGAGCAAAAAAGTAGAGCTTAGGAATTTTCGCCAGTCATGTAAAATTTGCAAATTTGAAAACAATTTTTGAAGACAAATAACAAGAAAAAAAAATAATAGAAAAACTTAAATTTTTTTAAAAATAATTTTTCAAATTTTTCCCCAAATTTTTGAAGGTTTTGATTCCTAAGATGTAGCAAAAAAATAACTTCATTAGAAAAAAACTAAAATTTCAAGGCTTAAATTAAGCATAAATAAGCAAATGTAAGCCTGCTCACTTGCTCGAAATTAGACTAAAAATCAAAAACTTCTAGCTGGTTTTTCTCGACACCGGGAAAACTTAAAAAAAAAATTTCGATGTCGTTCGAATCACGACTGAAAGGGGCTTAAATATGATATATCACTCAACCCAGTCCGAAGATTATTTGTGGTAGCTGATTTTGCGTGGAAAACAAAATGAAGGAAAAAACTAAAACACACCCGAATACAAAGTTCCTCCCATTTTCAATGGTCGGAACAAAAAGGGCCTTCTATGGTCGGAACAAAACTGCGCAAACACACTTACACGAAAGTTTAAATTGCTCAATTCAGAAATTTCATATTTACTAAGCTCAGGTCCTGGGTTTACTCCAACCCTTGACCTTTGGCTTCCCCAGTATTGACAGTACCACTACCAAATGTGAAGAATCAGCCATCAATTGAAGTGAAATTGAAGTTATTATAATGCAATTTAATGTGGAATTTCTGTACACGAAGTTTCCAACGGGAAAAGAATCTATGACCCGATTGCAATAACAATAACCTTGCTTTTTACAACCTTAAAATGCCTAAAGAAAAAATGCTGTTGAAACTAAAAAAGCTGTTGAAACTAAGTCATTGGAAATAAAATGCGCCAACACGTCGGTTTTTGTCACTGACAACAATTTTGAACAGACAAACTTCTCCTAATTGGTGTCATAATTTTTTATAAGCAAACAACTACAGCGATTGGCAAAATTAATCTCCGATTTTGTTTGATACTTTAAGCGAACCCAAAGTTAAACACGTTAGAAATTGAAAAGGATGTAAACACATTTCAAAAAAATTTTCGTTTCAGGTAATAGTAAACAATTTTCGTTTTGTGTTTTCAGCACTTTGGTATTTCACGCTTGAACGCCCCCGAGCTTAGTTTTGGCACGTATGCTATTGTGCTATAAGCGTGTCCTAGTAATCTATGTTGCCACAAGTTTGATCATTCGCTGAGCTATGGTGCACAAAGTTGTCACTTTCGGAAATGAAAATTTTTGTAATATGTTTTTGGCAATTGTATATCTTTTCACTGAAAAGCAAAAATTGTGCTAGTCGATACAAATAAACAACTTGAAACTGTTATGCTGGTTTGCAAAGTTTTTTTCCTAACATCATTAAAAATGAGAAAGTATGAAACAAAAATATATTCCCTGGTCTTATTCTTTGTTTTTAAGAATTGTAAGTATTGAATTGAGTCAAAGAATAGATTTGCATCATTGGTATTACAGAAAATAACTGATTATTTCAAGTTTCAATCTTTGCAAAACGAAAATATAGATAGCCCATATCTGTGCAAGTAGCATCGAATTCTTCGACCTTTCATAAGAATTTTTTTTTAAAATGCTAGTGTTTCTATGGTTTTTTGCATAAATTGTTTGATGGTTTTTGAATGAATTTATTTCAAAAATTTTTTTTCTGCCAAGGAAGCGCTGAATGAAGCTTTTAAAACTAATTTTCCTGGCGTAAAATTATGTATATCACTGAAAATTTTTTTTCATAAGGTCTACTCGAAATTTCAAATTAAAGCTCCTTTTACTCGAAATTTCAAATTAAAGAAAGACTCGAAAGTAGACGAAAACTCAATTCAAAAATTTCAAACATGTTTTTCTCCAACAGAAAAAAGTTTTTGAAGGTTTTTTGTCGTTTGAATCCGGAGTGAAAGTACTTTCATATGATATATCACTCGACATATTCCGATGATTATTTGTGGTAACTGCTCTTGGTTGAAAAACGAAATTTGTTGGCTCGAAACGACCAAAAATCACAAATTTCACACCAGTTATTCTCGACTCAGATTTTTTGGAAAGTGTCCAATGTAGTTCGAGTCACGACTGAAAGGGCTTCACGATGATAAACTACTAGACGCATTCCGATGATTCTTTGTGGTACCTGATTTTGTGTAAAAAAATAAAATTAAAACAACCAGAAAAAAATTGCTCACCGTTTTCGATGATCGGAGATTTTTTCAAACGTTTAAATCTAGTCATAGAAGTTTTTCAAAGTTTGTATAAAACTTAAGTATTGGCATAACAAACAAGAATAGCCAGTTCCGACCAAAAAAAGTGTGTTTGCAAATTGTGATATTTTTTCGAGGAAAAAATTATTCAACAGTGCCAAAAATTATAAATTTTTGGCACTGATGAACACTTTTTTGGAAATGTTGCTTATCGGCACTGTTGAACGTACTTTTTTGTTCGTTCGGCCATAAATGGATCTGAGCGAAATCCTGAAAATAAGTAAATTGGATAGTAAGAGTAGAATACGCATATTGATAATGGTATTTTTAATCAAAAAGTTAATGGAAAAAAATGTAATTCCTTGTCAAGAAGGCGCAATAAGAGCTTCGAAAACTAATATCCATGGAGTAAAACTACATTTTTACTACTTATTTCCATATTATAGGACTGCTCGTGTGCTTAATTTGCTCGTAATTAGACCAAAAACAACCGGTTTTTCTCTACACTGCAGAATTTTTAGAAGCCAACGACGGCATTTTAGAAGCTCATAAGATACTTCTGTATTACAATAATCCTCTTTCGCATGGAAAAAATAGATCAAGGGCAATTAAATGCACTAGAACAGTTCTAGATAAAAATATACAAGCAGAAAAAATATATTTTCCCCACAACCGCACAAAGATCAATTCTAAGGTGTAAAGAATGGATTTGCAAGACAAGAAGACAAGTATGAAGAACTAAAGCGTTTGAAATTGGGTTGCTACTACTGGTCTGAAAGAAAATTTCGAAACAAGTTTATCGATTATTTTATTCAACAAAAACCAATAGGGGAATCAGACAGACGAGCCGCAGCCTAGTTTCAGGAGTCACCAAAAATTTGGCAACTGAAGTTGATTGGAAGCCACCAAAATATTCACAATAATCAACTGCTGTATGGTCTAAATGTTGGCTGCTAAATTTCCGAATTTTGATTTCGCTAACCACAGGACATTTTTGAAGCCTCAGTGATTTTGCCTAATTTGCCAGCTCGTTTTAACTGCCTCATTGTTATGATGAACACAGAAATTGAAATAGAATTTGGGCAAAAACGAATATTTTTACTGTATCGATGAATTGCTGAAATTTATATTTTAGAGGAAGAAAGTCAACCCGTGAGCTTAATTTTGCCAGTGCAAGTGAGGCCTAACAGTGTGTCCCCTTCATCCTCAATCGAAAGTGGAGAGTCTTTAGATTCTAATGAAAACATGGTACCCTCCCACTCCTCGCGGAAACGCCCAAAGAACTTCCTCGTTAATTCCTTGATGACCGCTACCAATCAAATGACAAAACGCCGAAGAGCATCTATCAGCCAATCAGATTCGCTCAAGTCTTCCGAAGGTGCATCGCCAATGACGTCATCAAGATCCGACAGACGAGCTACTTCAGTCGTCAGCCAATCAGATTCGACCACTGCCAGGCCCTGTGAATTGACGTCTCAAAATAATGTTTTCGAGAACTTGAACGAATCTGGTGACAATCAAGTGCTAGATTTGTCAACTAACAATACGCCGACAACTCCGCCGCCTGAGTTAGAGCACCCGTCCGATGCTTTCGGACTACTCGCCGCGATAAAAGAAGAGGAAAACATGATATCACCCGACAAGCTAAAACGACATCGCGACACGACACTAACTGACAACACGGCGAATGAGTTGGACTCGGCGCGGCTTCCCAAGTCTGAAATCGATGAACTGTTGTCAGCGAGTCGACCAGCAGGTGAATCAGTCAGTCCTCCGAGAACTAGGGACGAGCTCAAAAACTTCATCAGAGCACGTGAGTAATATCTTGGTAACTTTATTTGAAAAGCCGAATATTCGATTTTCTAAACAGAGTCTAATTACACTTGCGAAGGGAGTGTATTAGTACGAACCTTCTTTTTTTTCCAACTTAAGTCGCAAATATTGGTGCTACTTGTGGGGCACCTTTACAGCTTTTTCATAGCGATTTGTTACATGCAAAGTTAGTTTGGATGCCTTCATTTAGTTATAATCCAAATTATTACTTGCAAAATTGAGTCTGTTTGTATTTGGTGCCACTTTTGCTCAATAGCATTGGCAATTGATTAGCATATGTAGCTAATTTATTGGTATCTAGTGTTTGTTGGTTGTTAAGCTTGTGTGGCTGAGTGGATAGTGCGTGAGACTCTAAATCTCTTGATTGCAGTAGGTCGCAGATCGAATCCTAGACCTAGCCCAGTTTTTGCTAATTTGAGGCTTACTTCTATTTTTTCTTATGCACTTTCTAGAGCTGCTTTTTGGTCGTGTTCTCGCTAGTATTTGCGAAGCACAGCTTCGCCTCTATGTCGATCAATCTTATTTTCAATTTCAACGAAAACAAAATGGACAACATTTCAACTTAGGTGGCTAGTGTTATTTTTTTTGCACTTTTGTAGCTAGTAAAGAGTCCAATTTAAGCCAAAACATGGAGTTATTAAGCCACTTGTATTTGATCATTGCTTATTTCTAAATAGTTTGATTTAAAATTTTTCTATTCAGATGGGCCTATTAAGAAACGAAGTGCGTCTCTGACTTCGGACAGCGATTGCTACAGACGACAATCATTCACCACTTCTTCCCTCGTCAGAGACGACCCCGACTTCCTCGCTTCGTCTTCGGGACTGGCAACAACCTCGGCGTCGGATCTCGGCGACTCCTCAAAGCAGTCGACTGTCGCCGGAACCCTGATGTCATCGACTCCTCCGAGTTCTGATTCGGCTGGCGTTTCCGACAGTGATGCGTTGTGGTCCTGTCCGAAGTGTAGTAAAGTGATGAAGAAAAAGTGTAGCTACAGGCACATCAAAGAAGTGCATGGCGCCAATAGAGAAATCGTACAATGTCCTGTTTGCTACAGGTTGGTTCATTTTTATTCAATCTTTTCAAAAAGCTTCTCTTATTTTTGTCTCCAATAGTTTTAATGGTGCAAAATTAACCGGCTAAGAGTCAGAGCACAATTATATTTGGTGTTTTTTTTTGCTTTTTAGTTTCAGAGGACTGTGAATCAAAGTAAGTTAAGAATCGCCCAATTGCTGAATGTGAAAGTGCATTTAATCCGGTATAAATAAACCAGCCGAAGTATAAACCAACCGAAAATGCGCAGAGTATGTAAGCTAGCCGTAAAGTGACATCATATTAGTGAATTTGCGTGTTACATAATTTTTACCAGTAGCCTGCCCAGAAGGGGTTGCGACCGCCTCCTCCCCTCAATTCTGGTTGCCAAATTTTTCCAAAGGGTTCCCGCTTTGGTATAATAAACTACAACCATTTTTGGCTGACCAACTTTAAAATTTTTCTAAAGGCGCCAATATAACTAATTTTAAGGGGGGAGCGCAGGCCGAAAAAAAAAAGTTTTTTGGTCAAAATTTTAAAAAAAAATGGTTAAAAACGCCTTTTTGGCCTGTTTTTTTTTGAAAATTTTACCTGCGGCGCAGAAAACTTTTGACAAAATAGGGTTTTATATAGTATCTTCGGAGAGCTCGGAAAATCAGATTGGTCCAACCTAAAAAAAAAGGGCGGAAAATTTTTCAATTTTTTTTGAAAAACCGCCGCCCCCCCTAGAAACATTTCTGCGCACGCCACTGATTGTTACATAACTATTATGTAAGACTTACGTATTTTCAACTAGTTGATATTTCGGCTGGTTTATATTTACATTGGCTGGTTTAGATAAAACCGAAAAACAAACGGGGTATGTAAAGACTTCGTCAAGTTAAAAGATCGCTGTGGGTAAGCCTTTCACATTTTTTTCATTGGAAAACTTTTCATTTAGTCTATAAAACACACGTTTTTGGGCCTCCATAAAATATATTTGTGACTTATCGAACAAAGTTTTTGGCACGGTTTTTTTTTGTAAAAAAATGTCTTCAAGGCAATTTTGTCACTGGCTTTTTTGAGAAAATATAGATTTTCATCATAATCTATGGCTTCTTTGAATTAATTATAGATTTTAAATTAAAAAATACTGCTCGTATATCAGGGCGAAGCCCTGAATGTTCTAACTGCACTCTAAAGCCAATTAAAAAATTTTGATTGAATAATTGACGAAATGATCGAAAAAAAAATATTTTGGCAATAAAAGTAGCAACTTTCACCCTTATAACTTTACCAAAAACAGATCACAGGCGAAATATTTTTTTAAATTTGAGCTCAAGACAATAATAGCTTTCGACCTATTCTAGTTTGTGACCCTTAAAATAATTTGTTTAGCTCAATGACATAAAAAAATTGTTTCAGGTCGTTCACGCGGAAGTACACTCTAGTTCTGCACTGTCGAAACGTGCACCCTCACTTAGAAGTCACAAACGCCACTGAGTTTCCAACTCGACCGGTCGAGGAAATTCAGCGCGAACAAATGAACAAAAAACAACACAGAACCAGTCGCCTCAAATCCGAGTCACGAGACGATGTCGAGACTCCCGACTCTGCGTTCTCAGGAAGTGAGATCTCGTCCGGAAATCTTTCGCGTAATAGCGGAACTCCAAATGAGTTGCTGGAATCTCACCAAGCTGGTACATCTGGCTCTGGAGGTTCCAGTTCCTTGCATCGATCAACATCCGAAGCGCAATTGTTACTTAACAAACATTTAACCATGCTTGCTAAATCTCCCAACACAGCGCAACAGTTACTTGGAGCTTTGAAGCAAGAGCAGCAAATTCTGACATCGCTCAAAAAAAGTCCTCAAAGGGCATCACTGGGGATCGATCCTTCTACCAGTATCGATTTCGGTACCAGACAATCTCCGCTGCACCAGGAAACGAGTCGGGCGTTTGTCGAACAGGGACTTCTAAACCCTCACTTTAATTCTCTAGAATTGAGTCTGAAATTGGCACAATTAGAGCGAAATCAACAGATGCAGCTTGAATTTTTAGCAAACAGTTCTGAAAACAATTGAGCATCATGAAAGCTTACAGCTAAAACTTATAGTTTTGTTTTGCTTACAAAAAAGCAGAGATGTTTATTTTTGTGGTTTTACGTTCTGAAAGGTGGTTTTGTACTTAACCGTATTTCTAAATTATTGGTCAAATTATAGATATTTTGACCCAGAAACTATTTATTCTAGATTAATGATTTTTCAACCTTGTGTTCGCAATTTTGTACGTTGATCTAATTTTGTGTCTTAGTTTAACTTCTGTGAAGTGCTGAACAATTATCAATCGTATGCTTTATCTTTAAAATGATGAGCCTTAAAGCGTCAAAGATGTTACAATCATTCTTACTTACTTCTCTTCTCTTGGATTCCTCTACTTATCTTTGTTTCAATTTTGTCAAATGTTTCTTTGTATTTAATTTTAGTATCTTTTTCCTTGCGCTCCTTTCTCGAAGCTAAAAAGATTTCAAGAGGAAATGTTTCTGGTAGCTTGCGTGCACAAGGCTCTCAGTCACAGATGTCGCAGTCGTTTCATAATATTCGCCTGTCTATCAATCAATCATGCATCAGTTTATTACGTTGGTCTGCTAAAAGACTATTTTTTCACTTTTAATGCAAAAAGGTTGGTCTGCTAAATGATCGGTTGATCGGTCCCATTATTTCTCTTCACTTCAACTTTGGTTAAGATAAGACAAAATGTGAAGAGAACTAAAGTTAAGATACAAAGTAAGAGAAACATCGAATAAAACTACTCAAAAAAGCTACTCGATTATGTATCAACTAACACCTCTGAGAACAAGAATAGGTGTCTAAAAAAAAGAACGATGAATGATGATTAGTCATTCAAATCTACACCTCCTTCTTTCCAATAATATGAATGCTAGTGCAGTATTTCAAATTTTGAACAGACGAATCTGCAATTCGCTAACACTTGCGAGAACACGACCAAAAAGCAGCTGTATCAGGTGAATTAAGAAAAATAAGTATGCCTCGAATTTGCAAAAACGGCTACGTATCTGATTCGAATCTGCGACCTAGCAAATTAGAGTCTCACGCATTTACCACTCAGCCACGGATACCACCAATAACGCAGCTCCATATGCTAATAAATTGCCAATTCGATGCAGCAAAAATAGCAACAAATACAAAAAGACACAACTTGGCATGTGATAAACTGGAAAGCATAAAGCCAAATTATGTATACATTGTGCATTTCAAAAAAATTGCGAGATACATAGAGTTGAAAAATTTTTGAAATCAAACTTCTTACCCTTGTACTGCTGTTTGAAACAAAAAACTTGTTTCGGTTCATTTGATGAATTAAAAATGCATCAATTGTGTTAACTTTTTACTAATCAAATTGTCAAACCATATATAATACTATACTGCTACCACAGCCTACTGATTTAAAATGCCACCAAAGTAGCACTTTTATTTGCGACTTAGATTAGTAAAAAAAAACAAAGAAAGTTCGTACTAATACACTTTGCTTCGCAAGTGTAATGATACAATTTGTCGAGATGTTTTCTTCTTTTATTTGGTTAACCAAACAAAAGACAATGCATAAGTGATCAATTTACTTAAAACCGTCAAAATTAAAGAGTAGCTTTAAAGGCGGAGTTTCCTCACGCAATTTTACCTGAAGTACAGCAACCAAAAATAATGATCAAGTTAGCACATATTGATAATGCAATGAATCAACGAAAAAAAACAATTATTCAGCAAGAAGAAGCTTTCTGCTCACAAGAAAAATTTTATTAACGGCTCTCTTCTTAAAATAAAAACTATAACAGTCTCTTCATCATGATCTTTATTATTTAAACGACAAACGACATCGTATGTTCTTTTACACAAATGCGAAGCTTTTGAGTTCCATTTTTGTTGGCAAGCGATTTAGTAGCATGTGATTTATCCGCTTTATTGGCGCATTGATAGCATTATTTGTATAGATATGCAAATTGACTTTTTAGGAAAACTTGAGAGAATGAGCTATTAGTTGTCTGCTTAGATTTTCATTGGCCGAATTTCCGGTGCATTGACTTTTTTTTAAATTGAGCTATTTTTCTTTTATTTGTTCTTTTATGAACTCTGAATTGTATGATTTCCTTTTAATTTATTTTTTCGTTCAAATGGTTTCGGCGCATGTTATATTCGCTTAGTCATCTTATATTGCGTCGTTTGTAGAATAAAAAAGTAAAATTGAGTATTCAGGAGGCGAAAGGCGTGAAAAAAGTTATGATAACATTTTATTGGCTAAATTAAGTTTCGGCTTAAGTATTGCTGGCTTCTTAGGAGTTTTTGCAGACCTAATTTTTTCGACAGTTTTTTGGCGATTTTCCGTATCATTTTATATACACTTGCAATGCTATGTCTGAGTTGTATCGCAAGGTTGCAAAGCTCTTCTTCGATTCCGTGTAGCACAACCGTTTGCTAGTTTCATAACGCTCTTCTGACTGAATTTTGCAAGCAAAACTTTGAATTACATAAAAGGGTTTAATTTGAACTGATTTAAATAAACTGCGCATGTCAGCTTGGTACAATCTATATCAATTTATTCTACTCACAAAATAGATGTGCCAGCTTCGAGCAGTTAACACAAATATAACTTGAGTATTTTTGTACCTGATTATAAGACACCTACTATCACGAGTGTGCCAGAGAAATGAATCAAAGCTTCGCATCACTTGTGAAGCGCAGAAAAAAATCATTAGGAAAACAAGTCTGGAATAATCTCATTCATTTTTTCCAAATTCATAGAAAACCAGCCACAAGAGATAGATACGGGAACTCATGAGCTGAATAAAACAGGATTTCCAGGCTGGAAATTTGATTGGTTTGGGTCAAACTTTTCTCTATTTCAGCACTATTTGCCACTTTGCGGCCATAACAGCTACTTTTACTATTACCGAAACACCTCAAAAAGATTTTTAATTACAATAAAATATTCGGAAATTTGTAACTTCTGGGCTGAAAAATTAAAAAGCCAAATGATCGACCGAAAATTAACATTTCGATCCAAAAATTCAACTTAGCAGAAAGAATCGGTCCTAACCGGATCCAAACATTGAACCTTCGTAGTTTCAGGCACGGAAATTCTGACCAATGAGCATATCACGCCCTTCTATTTGAATTTATAATAAAGCCTTATCAAATCGGAACGGACTTCTTTTTTCAGCTAAGCAACGTGTCTGACGCAATTATTGAATCATTTGATAGCTTGATTTTATCTTGCACAGAAAGTTCCGACCATTGTCTTACAAAATACAACCAAAAAAGTTTTCTTCAATTTAGTGTCGTTTTTTTTCGGCGTCCTGTGATAAAAAGAGCTGAGCAAAAAACTAAGCATAATTGAGAGTCATAGTAAAATAAGCAAACTGAAAAACAATTTTTGTAGAAAAATAACCAGAAAAACAAACAAGAAGTCAAAAAAAATTCAAAAATTGTTTCAAATTTTTTCAGTTTTTTGAATTGACGAAGTTTTGATTCCAAAAAGTCCTTAAAGTACTTAAAAAAATTAACGTTACTCGAGTAAAAATAAGTTTTACGTTTTATATTAAGCTATTGTAAGCTTTCAAGCATTAAAAAGAGCCTTTGTTAGCCTGCCTGCTTTATTCGCTCGATTTTCAAACCGGTTTTTCTACACTTTGGGAAATTTTTTAATCATTCGCATCACGGCTGTAGGAGCTTTAATATAATTATATCACTAAACTCTCACAGATGATTAATTGTGGTAGCTGGTTTGCGTGGAAAAAAAACTAAAACTCACCCGAAAGTTCCTCCCCATTTTTCAATGCGTCGGAACAAAAACTACGGTCAAAAATCAAATTAAAAATTGAAACTAACATTTTTTTCCAAATTGATTACATTTGACGCTTTCACTCTTTTTTTGAACAATATTTACTGCTCCCTTGTTAAATAAAAGATAAATACAGTACTAGGTGGGCAGAACAGAACACTTTCAAACACATTTTCCAAGAATCCAAACACAGTTTGAGTTATTTCAAGTCTTTATTTATGGTAAACAGAACTTTTAACACAGAGGCGAAGCTGAGCATCGCACCACATGCGATACAAAAATGACTGTAACAAAATAACTTGCACCGATAGAAAATTTCTAAGGAGCTTTCAAAAGGCTAGAATGAAGCCGCATTTCTTTTCTTCGGGCGAAAATAAGCAGAAAGACATCCTAAAATAACCAAAAAACTTGTCATCAAACGGACTGTGTCATCAAACATGGGTGGTACAACATTTTGAGAAAGCTGAAAGTTCAAAACTCTCATGCTACGGGAACAAGTCGGCAAAAATAAACAGACGGACGACGATAGTCCGAAAAAGAACAAAAACGCAATTTTGCCGAAAAAAAAAATAGATCCCAGCCAAATTCGAATCATAAGCATTTGCCGTCCCAAGGAATTGTGTTATCCACGCCAGATACCACCGGATGGTTAATTGAAATTATAAATTAAAAAAAGGAAAATTGAACCGACAGAAACTAGGACGAAAACCAAATTTTTTTGAAAAAATAATCACAAGCTGAAACGGGCTTGAAGTACTCTTATTTGAGCTTTCAAGAAATTGAGCACTTCAAAGGATCCTCTAGAAATGAAGATACTCTGAAAAAAAGGACAGATCCTCTGGAAGTGATCCTGTGGACAAAATTGTTTACGGGAAAACATTCTAGCACCCGATTGCAATACCCTTGCTTATCGCAAGGGTAATAACAGACCAAATAATTCTGTTTATGAAACAGTGATCTTGGCCGTAATCGATCAACAAGGCAATGAAAAGCAATTTTAATGCAAAAAACAATACAGCAAACCATCTTAAAGCGCGCCATTCAAAATTTTGTGTTTTTTGATAAGATTTCTCTAAAGTTTCTGATAATTTTTTTATTCGAAAGCTTCACTCTGTTGACTTTGTTTTAGTTAGTTAAAACGAAAATGAAGATGACAAAAATAAAAAAAATCATAGAACGAAATTACACCAGAATGTTTACAGCAGACACCCAATGACCAGAAAAACTAAATTTAAGTTTAATCCGAAGGCCCGAAAGATTAACAAATACCGTTTACAATAGAAACTTTCCAATACTCTGATGCTTTTTTACATCGGCGTTCCCACTCACCATAAAAGTAGTTTGTACTTAGGAAACCGACAAAGTTTTACTGTGTGCAGCCGACACAGTTTAATTCGAGTTCCAAGAACTACAAAACAGCCATTACAAAGTTTGACAAGCGTCTATGAACTCAAGTAAACAGAAAACAAGCTATCGCAATTCTTCAAACATTTAAAATTCAAATTTTTGTAGAAAAAACCTATGACTGCAACACTTTTAATTCCAAGAATTTTTTTGATTGGCATTTTTTTCATACTTCATAAAACTAACACATTTTGAGAAAACGGGATCAACAAAAACTTTCTATTCCACAGTCAAATCGTAATATTAAATCCCAATTTCGAAACGAAGTCACTTTCGTTCTTCGCGCCAATTGAACTTGCTATCGTAGAGCGTAACTTGCCTTCCTTGTTGAAAAAATTGGAACTTAAAAAAAACCAAAATCCATAAATAACGGTCTTCACTTTGTACATAGACACTTACTCTCGGCAAAACAGTTTTTCATAATTTGCTTCGCTTTATATGCAAGAATAACACCTTAAACATTATATTTTAGGCTAGCGATGGCGTTTTATGATAGTAATAACTGCGAGCTAAGAGCTGCCTGTGAAAACCAAGCCGACATAAAATACGAAAAAAAAAATCCCGAAGACTTGAATAATTCAAGGCAGCTACCGCACTTAGTTTTGTTCGTCTAAATGTTCGTAAGAAATTTACCGACCTAGATCCGCCCTGATTTCCACTATCACATAGGAAAGCGATTTTCATTTAAGTTAACAAGTTCATTTTACACAGAGGCGAAGTTGCACTTCGCATACACAAGCAAAATAAGACCGCTAACGCTACTGGGAAAAACTGAATGAGTAAAACTTTGAGTCTACAAAATTTCTTCAGTGACGCACGCCAATTATGAGTCTATATAATTGCTAAGTGACGCAAGCCAATTATAACGCAGAAATTTACCAACTTACATGTCTCAAATTTGATAGCGGCCGCATTTTATTAAGTATACGGAAACGTTCATAAAAACTTCTAACCCTGCCCAGGTTCAAACCCTCTTATTTTGCTACTGGTCTCCTTCCCAATCTCTACGCTACAGAACCATGATATCTTGAAGCTTAAGTGCTATTTGTAATATAATAGTCTGTGTTTATATCCATAGCCTTGGCTGTACTTAATAGCTGGATCAAAATGAACACATTTTGTCGCAACAATTGCATCGCAACAATATTTGCGATTTAGGTTGGAAAACAGAGAAAGTTCATAGTATAACACAAGCTATGCTTGTGTAATTATGACTTTCTGTTAATATTGACTGCGATTTTGCGAGAAAGGCATTTAGCCAACAGTAGCGGTAAGCAATTTAGAGTGGTTGAAATTTTTCCAGCATTCGGTCCCTCCAGCATGAAAACCTTCCCCTTGAATACTTATGTAAACAACTCAATAACAAACAAGTAAAATAGGACTGAATGTTCGCGAGAGCCTTCGAAGGTTTAACGTCGAACGAACGTTCGGTTGCACCACTACTCACGAGTAGTTCACAAATACTACATTGAGCACTTCAGCAGAGATCTCTGTTATGCTAGTTTGTTGGAAAAAAGTACTAGCACCTTGTTTATGTTGAATTTTTTTCTCTATATTTTCAAGCAACTCACGCTTAGAAATTTTTTATGTAGCCGAAACACGTGGTTGAACTACAAGCAGTTTGTGAAAACTTTTATTTGATTCAAAGTACAGACAGTAGCAAAAAAAAGCATATTCAACTATCAGCAACTAGACAAATTACCAGTCACTAGAAAAATCACTTTTCGCTCTCGAGTTCATGTTAAAGTCTGTTACTTGCTCACTCTCCGAGCTGGCTATATAACTAGACATCATCTGGTCATAATCTTGACTACTACTTCCAGCGACATCACTACTCATCTGCATTCGAACACTTCCAGGAGTTTCAAACGGATCTTCGTCGTCTTCAACTATTTCTCCTTCGTCTAAATCATCTTTCGGCTTAACTTTAGCTCTAGCAGCGAAACTATTTGTCATATTTGCATGATTTGCATTGGATTGCATAGCCCATTTGTCCTCTTTAGACAGAATTTGAGTCTGTTTCGAACTATCAATATCTCCACTTTCTGCGTCTCCGAAATATCTTTTCTTCTGTTTTGTTGTTTGCTTGTTGATCTGCGCTTGCTCTTTTGAGTATTGAAGAGGCACTTGTACGTTGAGTACTTCTGGGACCATATGGGGTTTGAGCCAGCCTACAAGAGGAGTCACTCCCAAATGATAATGTGTCTGCTTGTGAAAAAACCATACCCCATCCAGCTGAAATAAAAATACTATTGATACAATAGTTAACTTGCGGTGGGGTAATTAGAACTGAAATTACAAAGACACAAAAAATGATACAAAAAAAACAGACAACATAGTTTGAAAAATGTCAATGAACTCAAGACAGTTTGAAAAATGTCTATGAACTAGTAAAACCGACAAATAGACTTTTCTTTGCGCTTTATGAGTTTTCAGGTTGAAGCACTTTAAATTGCAATAATTTTTTATGATCAACATAATTTTTAAAACTAACTCGATACGAGAACATAGCCTACAGACGGTTGGAAAAGCAAAATAACTAAGGAAACCGAAAAAACTGGATTGAAAAAAATTTCGAACTTTTTTCAAGTTTCGAAGAAAAATATCACATTTAAGTATGTTGAATTTCCAGATTTGTCTATCATTGATATTTTTAAGTACTGGTGTTTGGAGAAAAATTGGATCAAAGGATAATTTTTTCCGCTCAAAATTTTAAAAATTTAAGTCGATTTTTGAAACTAGAAGTCATTCACGTTTTTCTCTACATTTACACTGTTGCTATTCTATTCTGGAGTTTGTTTTCCTTTAAAACACAGGAAATGAACAACTTTTTAAAAAATCCAAGAAAAATCTGTTGAGCGTGAACAAATTTAAGGGCTTTTTCCTGCAACAAAAAAGCATCACGACATATATAATATAATTTACAATCACTTCGTTTGTTACACTTAAAACTTTCAGTTAGATACTTACTTTTTCTGGTGGAAAATAGGAGACAGCATTTACAATTCCCTCCGATGTGCAAGGAAAATAAGGTAGAATCTCAAATGGCGACTAAAGTAAACAAAATATTGCTTTAGAGTAACTCATTTTCTACCTTTTATTTTGAAATATTTATTATATGAGACTCACGCGGTTGAATTTGGATTTCTTGGTGATTTCTGGGTTCTCTTGGAACTTTGTTTGCAGCCAGAAAAACCTGAACTCCGTCTGAAACCACATCTCTTAGAACTATCCCCGAATAACAACTTGTGTTCGTTTTTATTGTCATTACCTGTAATAACTTCTCTTAAGAGTAACGACTCACCTCGCAATCTAGAAATGGATGTCCATTCCAACAGAGTAAATCAACGCAGTAATACTTGTTCTCTGGTGGACTGTATACACAATCCAAAATTGTGTAAGCTAAAAATAAATCTTCAGTTCATCGAAATTCAGAAAGCTTATTCTTTGAAGTCTAAAATAAAACTATTTGGAAACAACAACTCAATCGGTGAATCTATTCATCAGTATATTCTCCTAGTTTTATTAATTGGGGTGGTATGTGATTGGATTTGGTGGTTGTACCATATTTCTGATAGTTTGTGTTATGGCGGTTACCATGGGGCAGCGCTGACTCGAACTCATATTGCGCTCGCACTCCGAACTTTGTCCATGCAGTGCAATATCCCTGAAAATGCCGTCATGATAAAATCTGTACAATTTTTGTCAAACGCTTGTCTCAACTTGACTCGAACCTGAGATGCAGTAACCAGGTTTCGTTTACCAACCGGACAAGGTACCACATAACAGCTTGCTTCGAAATCTTCAGGTACATCAACAAGCCATTCAGATAGCATGAGCTAAAACAGTTAGGATTACACGAATGATCATTTCAATTCGAACACTGACTATTGTCGCCTTTTTCTGTCAATAAGACGCACCCTGGGAGTTTTATGCTGTTTCCGAGGCCTTGAAGAGTAGCTGCACAAACCAGAGGTTTTGAACGCGGTTCTCTTAGAGACCTCATCTTCCATTTCGCTTCCATCTGAGAAGTCATCCCCTTCTTGCTCGATGTCACTCAAGTTGTCTTCGGCAATTTTTCTGGCTAGTAGTTGTGCATCACATCTTTTCCTATTCAAACAAATACTTCATAACTTTTTTTCAGTTACAAACAACATAATTTTCCACATTTCGAAAACTTAAAATTGGACTGAGATGTGAAACAAGGTGCCTAAATTTGTCCGGTAAAAACTGTAGTAGTTTTTGGCAAGCAAAATTTGCTTTATGAACAGAAATGGGAAAACTTGTCTACTTATTGGCCTGAGGTTGTTTACTTACTGCGGTAACCGAATAAAATCAAGATCCATTGATTCCACCTTTTCTGAGAAAACTGAGAAGGTCAACTTTTAGAGAAATGTTTAGATAAGCTATCAACGTACATTACCTCATCGGATCGAGACTGGACTTTCTTTGTTAATTTCAGCCACAAACGCTTGCCATTAAAAATGATCAATGATTCAATAGCACAACAAAATGAATCGATGCAATAAAATCCTTATTGCTGGATATTATATGCAAAATTTCAATTTTTGCAATGACTTTGACTCTAATAGAGAAATTTTGATTGAATTTTATTCAAAACGTTTGCAATTTTATGCATTTACAGCTCATTTATTATTTTTTAAAGACCCAAGGTTATTTTTCATTTATTAACGAGATTGATTTTTCTGTTCCGCGTTTGCTTTCACGAGCTCTTCAGGACACTTTTGCATTCAAGCGACGGCAAAAAAAAACAACTTACGCTTTCTGTTGTTCTAGGAACCGCTTTCGCCTCAAATTCTGAGAATTCACCTCTCCTTTTGGTTTGAATTGTTGATATCGCGGATGGTTCTTGTCTGTTGAAAAAGTACCAGGTTCAGATTTTGTTACGGAGAATCCGGCGGCAAGCGAATCAGCCAGTTCCTCCATTTAAATTTCTGAGATTCTTTTTTAGCCTAAAAAATGAATATTTTCAAAATCTGAATTATTAGTTTTGAAAACAAACCACTACTCCTCACCTGCTTCAATTTAAGTTGCCAATTACAAAGAAAAAGTAGGAAAGATATAAAAGACATTACATCTAAACAAAAAACTCATGACTTAAAATTTATAACTTATTAGCCAATAAAAATCAAAAGTTAATGAGAGTAATCGAAGCTTTTAGCCTATTGTTGAGACTTAAAATACCTGTGCACCATTTTGCAATAGACGATTTTGCAAGATCAAATTGTATCATGAAGTTTCCTAGAAATGAGCATTTGTAATTCGAAATTTTGTAAATTTTAAATCCAGTTTTGAAGGCAAATCAGAAACTCTGTTTTGCCTTCTGATTTCTACATTTTGAAAGAGAAAAATCTAATTTTTTTTCAAGTATATCTCCGGGTGAAGGCTTTTTTGCCCCCACGAGTAAAACCAAGTCATGAGTCAACAACAACTGACGGAATCTCAGCTACCAATTACTCATGAAGTGCTGATTGAAACGGAGACAAAATTAAGAAATGCTCTAACAGCAAAGAAATCGACGGAAGAAACAAAACAAATCCAAATATTAAAAATCATCCCCCCATTCTCGAGAGAAATTGTAAAGTCAGCTGAAAACCTGGCGCAGGCATAACGAAGTTTTGCTTCCGATATAATGAAACAATTCCCCACGACAATGCAGCAGAAGATTACAACCTCAAAAACAATAACTGTGACAAAAGATGACCGCAAACTTCTTACACTGACAGTTATTGCTCCCCCGGAAGCAGATCAATTCATAACTAGCATCAAAAGTGTAGGAAGCATTCTACTTAACAGGACGGTATTTCCCATGGGATGCTTTCCAAGGTCTCATAGACCCAAGAACATTTACCCTAAATTAGCCAAAATCAAATTGTGGAATTTTTCTTATGTATGCAACGATATCGAAGCGAAATTAATTCTCCAATCGCCAGAAGACATAATTCATAGCCCTATATAACAACGTGAGACCTGTATCTTAACTGAACCGGGTCAGTATGTTTACATAAGAAGAGCAATTTTAGAAGTTAAAATACAAAACGAAGAACAAGAGAAAAAGCTGACGGACTGTCTTACAAATCGAGAAAGGATGGCTTTAAAATCGAGAATGGATGGCTTTAAAATCGAGAATGTTTGACATTACATATTGAGAATGGACGGCTTTAAAATGTGGGAAGGTGTAGAAATCTCGTTTCACATACCTTCACTACAGGAAAATCAAAAATGCAAGAGGTCTGGACGCCAAGAAAAAGGTCATCACGATGATTGGTGCAACATAGGAAACCAATAATCCTAATAATCAGTTCCCACAAAAACCAAGCTCCAATAATGCCAGCGACGAGAAAAACGATGACGAAACTGTTGAAATACTCGTCTGTGATTGGTCAATTTTAAGACATGGTTGTTTAGAACCAAAAGACTCTAACCTGTAACTGCTATATTCGAGAAAGCAGTGAAATAAAATTGACAATGACTTTTAACTTTTTAATTGAAATCAAAAATAATGCGGTTAAGCAAAGGTTGTTGATTTTGAATTAAACCTTTTTCATGTTGGAGAAGTTTGTCTACCAGTCTACGATCGTAATAAAGCTAAGTACACGTTTAATCTCCAGCGCGCATTTCATTTGATATCAGTTTCACTTTTAGTTAGGCAAGTGATTTTTGAACAAGATCCGCATATACGTTTGGGACAACAAAAGCTTATTTTATTAAAAGAGATGGTCTTTTTTGGTTTATACATAGTGCAGTGCAGAAGAGATGTGCCAGTCGGTCATATTTGGAAGTTTGACCTTGAGAAGAGCAGAAAATACTTGATTTTGAAGTGAAATTTAATTTTTCAAAATTTCGAAAGGAACATGTCATGCACGATTTTCTCGCGATAACTGAAAATCAGAAAAAGAAATCAGAGCAATTTTAGAACAATTGCGGGGAAGTTGTCAATTAAAAACGAGTGGGAAATTGCTATTCGCAATTTCCATCATAGTGAACGAGAGTAGAGCTGTCCTACTTGAAATAGAAGACAGAGTATCCCCGAGAGAGCGATTACTAAAGTTGGACCAGAGTGAACCTTCAGCGGAAAGGCGGACAACTGGAGTGTCCCAACGGTCCAAGAGAACTCAAATTCTAGAGCATGAACTTATCCTTGCTGTCCAAACTATAAAACATTAAACTTCTCTTAGTTATTTATTTCTTGAGTTAGTTACTGACTGGATTATTTTCCCAACTCTTGAGAGCGCTGATATGTGAGTACGAATTTAAATTCTAGAGTGTGTTTTATGATTGTTATGTTGAGGTAAGGCGAGTTTTAGGTTGATCCATCTGAAATGGATCAAAGTCACACTGTCTAATAAAAAGTAACCTAACGGATTGTTCCAACCCGGTTTTTAACGGCGTTCATGTATTTTGGGTATCTAGAGACCTAAGTATGGGGACGTTTCTAATTCTAGAGTGGGGGGATATTTTAGTAGTAGCCTTTAAGCTGTAACGGGTCGTAGTCTCATGTCACAAGCGAACCGAACTGGCTCCGACCGTTCTTGAGGTGGGAAAACACAAGAGATAGTGTCCCTGACCCTTGAGCCAGTGGTTATAGGGCCTATTTTTCTTAAGCCTCATGTGTGACTGCAGTAGACGAATGTTACATAGTGTTTTTATGGCGCTCCTGGGTGTTTACGACATCAAGACTACGGAGTCGAACCCACTTGAGACAGCTTCGGGCTGAATGCCCATTCTAGAGTACCGGCGGTACGGTTCGACAGGAACGTGCAAACCTTCCGGTTGTACCGTGATAGCTTTTTAAGAAAACTCGAGAAAATTTCCTGGTGCGCTCTCCGAACGAGGCTTAGCTAACCGAGTATAGGGGGGCAACTAGGGGGACAAAAACACGAGCAAAAAGACAAAAAGCAAAACAAAAACCAAAAAAGAATAGAAAAAGGAACAAAAACCATAAAACGAAAAAAGACAGTGACTTTGACACCAGATTAGTTGGATCAAACCTTTATATTAATTAAATAGTATACCCATACTGTTTTACAAGTTCGATCGTTTCGATCAACCTAGCAATTTAAACCAGTAAACTGAATAAAGTGCCCAAAGTGGGGCGTTGTCAAGGGTTTTCAGATAGCTTGGAACTTAGCTGGACCAATAGGAGACTTGACTGGAAGAGGTGACCAGCCGAGTGGGAAAGTGGTTCAGGGACACTTGAGCTGAACCAATAGGAGACTTGACTGGAAGAGGTGACCAGCCGAGTGGGAAAGTGGTTCAGGGACACTGAGCTGAACCAATAGGAGACTTGACTGGAAGAGGTGACCAGCCGAGTGGGAGAGTGGTTCAGGGACACTTGGCTGAACCAATAGGAGACTGGACTGGAACAGGTGACCAGTCGAGTGGGAAAGCAGCCAAGAAGGATTTGGCAATTCTCGAGTTCTCAAGTTGGGCAGAACGGGTATCGTTAGAATCCACATTACATTATAGGAGATAAGTGTAAAATTGGATAAGCGAAATCCCCCAGTTTTGAGGAACGTTTTTACTTGAGCAGGCCTGGAAACAGGTCTACGGTTTTCTCTTGAGAGGTTTAGCACCCGGCGCTTAAAGTAATTTTTAGGCTTAAGAAGGGGGGCTAGAAAGGGGGGAGGTTAGAAGGGGGGCTGGTTAAGTTAGAGGTTGGCGGTTGTAAATTGTAAAAAGGGGGAAATTAGAGTAACTAATTAGTCGACATCGTTGACTTAGTTACATTAGAAATTAACACGCGTTGGTAATATTAGGTGGAGATCCAGAATTCAACTCGAGTTAAGACTGGTAGGGGGGACCGGATATAGACAGCTTTTGTGATACCCCATAAGATCACTAGTGGGGGGAGGAAAGCGCGTGGCAATTAGGTACCAGACATTTTTTTTTGGACGAAAGGTAGACATTGGTCACCTTTGAATTTCAGGTGGGCTCATTTTTCTGTTTTTATTATTTTTCTTACTTAGATTTTTGTTGCATTTTAGTGAGGATTTGTGTTTGGTTTTATACGAACAGGTGATCACAAGATACCTGCGCACCTACATTGAAATAGAAACAACCAAAAAGAAGAGGGGGTCAGCATTTGGCTTTTAAGAGAGGGTTTTTGGGAAAATTTTACTAGAGCTCGAGTGGTGGTACAAGGTACGGTGGTTCAAGAAGACCCTACAACGAGGAAGACACTCCGTGACGAGTATTGGGACAAGACCGAAGAAGTCTTAAAACAGAGCAGTCTTGGGACAGTGGTCTTGGGACAGGGTCTTGGGACAGTGGTCTTGGGACAGGGTCTTGGGACAGTGGTCTTGGGACAGTGGTCTTGGGACAGGGTCTTGGGACAGTGGTCTTGGGACAGTGGTCTTGGGACAGGGTCTTGGGACAGGGTCTTGGGACAGTGGTCTTGGGACAGGGTCTTGGGACAGTGGTCTTGGGACAGTGGTCTTGGGACAGGGTCTTGGGACAGGGTCTTGGGACAGGGTCTTGGGACAGTGGTCTTGGGACAGTGGTCTTGGGACAGGGTCTTGGGACAGTGGTCCTGGGACAGTCTTGGGACAGTGGTCTTGGGACACTAGTCTTGGGACACTAGTCTTGGGACACCAGCCTTGGGACACTGGTCTTGGGACACTACCCTTGGGACACTAGTCTTGGGATACCAGCCTTGGGACAGTAGTCTTGGGACACTAGCCTTGGGACACTAGTCTTGGGACAGTAGTCTTGGGACACTGGTCTTGGGACACTACCCTTGGGACAGTAGTCTTGGGACACTAGCCTTGGGACACTAGCCTTGGGACAGTAGTCTTGGGACACTAGCCTTGGGACACTGGTCTTGGGACAGTAGTCTTGGGACACTAGTCTTGGAACAGTGGTCTTGGTACAAGGGTCTTAGGACACTAGCGGAGAGTACTGTGATAGTGACGAATAGTTTTGGGACGGTATAGAAATTGAAGTCAAATTACAACAAGTGCGTTTTAAGACAGAATAAGACAAATCGAAATAGGTAGGGTTAAGACCAAATTAAGGAAAATTTTTCGGAGGTTTTAGAAAGAGAATTGGATAAGGTTTTTAACACGTTGTACAGAGTTTGTTACCACAAAAAATATTTTTTTTTACCCTTAGAATAGAATCGTGTATATAATAAAATTGTAAATAGAAGCAGTTGTAAATAGAAATAATGAGGCGGAGTAGGGTACCGGTGCTCGAAAAAAGGTCAAGTGGATCAAACACGAAGT